CCCCGATGCATGTCCTGGACCGGATCAAAGGGGAAACCATCAGGCCTGTGTACATCATGATATTTCCGAAGATGGCTGATGAGGGCTTTACGGCCTACGGAGTCTTGACACAATGGGCATCTATACATCTTTGCGGGCTCCGGGCAGGGTCCATCAGGATGAGAAGCGAGCATCAATTTCACTGTGACCTTGGCAGTGCGAAGATCGGATCCCGATGGGGCCGATGTGGTCAGGTCAAGCGGACGATCCATCTGAGCATGCTTCGGGTGCTTTTGATGATGCGTGATTAGTCCAGTCTCGGTCAGGAATGTGGTATTACAAGCAAGACATTTGAACAAAGGGGTTGTTCGAGCACATGGACCAGCCCCTTCGGTGTCGTCATCAACCTCCATCGGAGTCGGCCGTGTGTCGGATGGAGGCGCCAGGGTGGCAGCTTCACTGGGAGTCTCGGGCTTGTCTGCATTTCCTGTACCTGATGACGGTCGGTTGGCCCGAAGCGGGCGCATCATAGTGGGCATGACAGGAAAATACGAAACATCATATGTCTGTCCAAGCAGAATGCTAATCTGAAGCAAGACTCCACATTTATGTGTGCGGACATCATTGCATTGTTGCTCACACAAGACACACGTGCCTTTTCCACTACCTAGATTGGCAAGGCCATACACTTGATCGCGATGCAATGCTTCGTAAACCAAAAGACCTTGATGTCGTTCTCCATAGTGTTTACGAATGGAGCGAGCAGGCACGGCAAGGTGACAAAAGACACAGTGGTGTGCAATTTCACAGACCAGGGCTTTGTCCAGTAGAATACCTGGGATGGATTTGTAGCGCAAATGCATGCGCAATGACTGGCGGTCAGCAATCGGCACGATGGTCTCCTTGTGCGGATCGAACTGAAGACAAACTCTGGCATTGATATGATATCTAAGGCGATATATATCAGCTAATTGCTTATGACAGTGTCTACATGTTGCCTTCCCTTCAAATGAATCACGCAGGGGATCAAACAAATCTTCAATGTGGCAGGGAATCTGGTGTGCAGTACGCATATGTCGTTTCCAGGGTCCTGCCTGATGAAAAGCTCGATCACACTCTGGACATTTGAGTTCAGGTGCCTGAGAGAACGAGATTGAAGCCGTGGGTTCATGTTGTAATTGGTTATCAGGGTATGCTGGGGTCAAAACGCAAATATCTTGCTGACCAGTCTGCATGGCTTCACGGATCAGGATGTCACGACGTCGACTCAGGGAGTCGTTCAGACGAGTTTGTTGTCGAACAAAATAGCACCATGGAGGTTCAATGTGCATACGTGAATAAAAGGCCGTGTTGGTTTCACGGGTGAGGTGCACAGGGGATCTGGTCATGGTCCTATGATGTTTGGTGATCATGCCATTGATCATCTGAAAACTGCGAGTTGAAATCCCCATCTCGTGGATGCCATATGAGACTGTGGGTAAAACACATTGGTTATACAACCTAAGGCGAATTGACAATGGATGATGCTGATCCAGGAGCCATTTCCTCAAGATGCGGAAGCAAACATTTGCAGCTTTGACTCTGCGAACAACGGTGTCGTGATCAAATGCGCGATAGCTCAATGTGACACCTAGGTAGTCTGTCCTACTGACAATAGGAAGGCTTAAGGATTGATCTGGCAGGTGCAAACGAGGTCCTTCTTTTGTTCTCGACGTCCATCGTTTCAAAAACGCCTGAGCGGACTTTCCCACAAGGCGCATGATGGCAACACTTTTGGTCAGATTGACCCTGAAATGGAAAGCCTTGAGCGTACCCAGCACCACAGTAAGATCATGTAAGGCCGACAGGCCCGAGGCCGGACTATCTATGAGCCACCTGAGGTGAATGTCGTCTGCATAGATGACAATGTGGGAAATGATCCAGGGCAGATCGAAACAGGCCATCAAGTGGTCGAGGAGCAGGTACATGCTCAAGGTCCAGAGCAAAGGGGCATCTTTGGACCCCTGCTTTATACCCCGGCTGGCTGTGACGTGTCCGATTAAATCTTTATGGGGTATGCAGTACTTGTGTTTGTGTTGCCATGACTGAACAAGGAGTTGAAGGTCTGGGTTCATCTCGAATCGTTGGATGGCTCGAAGTACCAAGTTTCGGTCAATGGCATCAAAAGCCTTCTCAAGATCGAGTGAGACCTGAAGGCCACCCCACAGTCCAGACTTAGATGGATCACTTTTGTGGTTCTGGCACAGTGCTTTGACCTGTCGACAGTGTTCAGAAGTCAGCAGGAGACAGTCCTGTGTGCCGCGGTGCGGTAGGTAGGCATACAGGGGAACCCGGCAAAGGGATGGAAGTGCATGTTCCAACACTTGTGCACAATGAATGCCCGAAAGGATTTTACTGACTGGGTGCTGAAGACAAATAGGTCTAAGCGCAGCAGGATGATTGGGAGGTTTATGGGGCTTACTGAGGAGATGCAGCCATCCAGTGGCCCAACGTGAGGGGGGAATTCCCGACTGAGTCCAGGCGCATTCGATGGCGGGGTAAACAACTGCTGCAATGTCGTGTGCGAAAACTTTCCAAATCAGTCCCGGCATTCCGTCCGGAGCAAGAGCCTTCGTAGCAGGAAGTTTGGAGAGGCCCATTGCAACCTGATCCTGAGTGAATGGGATGGAGTTCAACGGAGCAGGTGCTAACTCAAAATGCTCATCATGGAACATAGTGCCAAAGTGATCAACAAGGACAGCGAGTTCCTGGTGCGGAAGAAGAGGGGCGCCAAATCTATCATGCAATTGTATCTTACGAAAAGGCTGCTTAGGACAGAGTTTACGGATGTTGCGATACCAATCGTGCATGCGATTAGACAAAGCATGGGGAACATTCTCCTTCAAGAATTGTTCAAGCTTGTGTCGTTTGTTGATCTTACCAAATTTACGAATCTGAGCATGCAAACGCGCAAAGATGGTGAGGTGTTTCCAACTGTGGAATAGAGTGCGAACATGAACGTACAGAACCTGTCTAGCCTGTCTACGTGCATGCCACATACGGGCCGTGAGGGATACCACAGTCTTGTCAGAAGAAAATTGTTTTTTCTGACGAGGAAAATGCTCAAGACACAATTCTCTAAGATCATGTTCCATGGAATAGCAGTTTTCAATCGGACAGGTCATTCTAGGTGACTGATGTCTGAGGATACAGCTCTGGGCTGCCACGACAAAGTGTCTCCATGCTGTTGTGTCAGCGATCATCTCCTGTCGAATTCGAAACCGATCGATAGAAACAAGTTTCGAGGGTACGGATCTGATCGGATGCCACCGGGGAAGGCCAAGGAGTAACGGACGGTGTTGTGGTCCCTGATGCAAACCAATGCGCTCAAACCGACAGTCAATTGAAGCAGTTATGTGTTTCCACCTAATCTGATTGGACCGCATGAAAGCGAAGTCGATTCGGGTCTGATGGCTACCATGCAGAAAGGTGGGTACGTATTTCTGCTTGCAATGAACTGCAACCAAGGATAATTCACGAATCATGAGTTGGAAGTCATGTTTATCGGTTTGAAGTGCCTGGTCAAAGCGTGGATCATGACTGCCAATGGATTGCGAATCGCGTTGAAGCGGACAATTGAAGTCCCCTATAACAACCATCATGTGGCTTTGAGGAGTATGTTGAATACACTGACGGAGTTTCCCCCACAGGTCCTGCCTTTCTTGCAACAGAGCACGGCTTGACTTGGTCGTGCTCCAGGCCGTCTGATATATAGTGTACAAATCATGGACCCTGTCTAGCATCAAGCGAATATGCAACAATCTGCCTGGAATCAACACCGCATACGCCAACATGGATGCTCGGATCAATGTTTTGCGGATCATGATAAGCTGGCTCGCAGCGGCCTCTTGAGAGTGAATGCAATACCAATGTTCAGTTTCCCATTGTCCATTGAACTTCCAGTTTGATTCTTGAATCAAGAGTACATCTTCGGGTCGGCCCGAGGCCCAGGCTAACCATTCATGGTAACTCAAGCATCTTGTGGCATTCCAGGAGAGAATCTTTAGAACAACACCAGATTGTTGTGCCTGTCGAGATTGAGGTTGCAGTGTTGACCTCTGTATTTCAGCCTTCAAAGGACCTCGCAACCGAAAAGGCACGTCGGATGCTGTGAAGCATCTGCCATGGTAGCTAGTGTGTCCAGCTTGTAATGCACGTTTGCATGCCCTGCGAAATGAACGCTTGATACGCCTTATTCGAGACTGGTGCACCAACTGGCCGTAGCCAAACATCGCCCAGACTTCACTGGCTTTCGTGCATGTCTTAGTAGGTGCATGGGAGTGCATTGCACTTTCGCCAACCCGTGAAGAAAGGTTGGCAACCCTCACGCCAGGCTTGAATCCTTGTGGTACAAAAGGTGGAGCATCTGGGTTCAAGCCTCCCGGACTTGGGACCGGGAGATCCAGTTCTGTAGACATCTGGTGGATCAAAGCAGCTATGGTGAATATCGAAAGGAACCACATGCCAATCTATGGAAGGAAAACCACAAGATCCATGGCAGTGGGCCCCCAGACACGGCCGCGGACACTTGAACTGGAAATGGCGCTTAGCAAAAGCAACAACAACTCGACATCTTTCATGAATGTTGTTGGTTTTCTGTCTAGCATCTTTGAGAGTGGCTGTGATGTAGGGCTAATCACCTATCTTTGAGCACATGCATATGCACATAATGCATGCATAACATACGGTGCAGTAACCTTTTCACAAGCAGTGTCACTCACTGCAAATGGTAGCAAAATCATTCGGATGTGAGAGAGGCCCTTAAGAATACGCAAGCACCATTACAAATTGAACATACATGACTATATAAACATAATAGATATTAGTAATTCATATAAAATAATGTAACACTAATACTAAACTAATATTAATTATACAATTACATACAATTACGTGTATCTACAATATCTATCTTTTTGTTTTCGGACCCGCTTCTACCCCATTGCCATCCCCCGACCTTTCATGATCCCTTCGCCCACTGCCTCTGCATTTCCTTTCGCTCTGCGGCAACCTTGCCCAAAGCCAGTGAATCCGTTCACGAGAAAGAAACAACAGATTGCGCGAGCTGTGAGACATGTATATGGCACTATAATGTATATAGTAAGAATTGCTGATGCAAGCAGTCTCATCCATGAGAAGGAGTGTCTGTTTGATTTGTCCGTCTCATCCTGCCCTACAGTACCACCACATTGAGGCATATTCAGGTGGCGCGTCGTAGCAGCTGCAACTTGTTTTACCGTCTGCTGTTGCAGCTTGAGCTGTAACCTAAAACAGAAGGACACAAAGGCCAACAAATCAAAAAAGGATCCGCATTGCCCTTGTGAGCTGCGAAATACAGCAAGGTTTCGAGAATTGTGGTCGCTTCTGTGTGAGCCCACGCCCCGAGGCAACATTCCTGACCTGCATGGAGGCACCGAGCTGAACCGGCTGTCTCTTGTTGCACAATCTAGCTTGTGATCCTGGCGCTTCTGGATAACATATTCCAGTTCCTCTTTAAAAATGTTCCAGCCAATCATCAATCGACAAGTTGTCATTCTGAGCTGCCATATACAGCGCTAAAATGGCAGCTGCTGTTGTGGTTTCGGTGCTAGCTCCTGCTTTCAGCAACGAATTCACCACCCACTTGTGGCCATTCTGAGCTGCAATATGCAGCGCTGTTTTGCCAGCTGCTGTAGTAG